CATTGAGATTTACATTCTAATCAAAGACGAAAAGAATCAGTATACAAATTCGAGAATTCTTATCTGGTAGTCTATCAAGTATTGTCATCGCGCCGTACTTTGCTACGGTCACGCTGTCATTTCGCTTTAGAATTCATCGGTGAATGTATAGTTTTCACAGACGGAGAAGTCTCTTCTGGATATATATATAAAACTTTAGAATTTTATCATCACCTAGTCTGAGCAAACACGGATGTAGCTCTGATCCTGTTCAAAGTCAATTCTACTGCATAGTATGACCGTTCGATGGTGGAGAAAGGACGTTTGCATCCACGAGTATTTCTAGGAAACTGTCCGTAAATGGCAGAGTCGCTCAAGAGATGCTTAGTTTCAGAATGGTCTAGTTGTTTTAACTTCCGTTATCTTTAACTGCGCATTTCCTGGAGTCTATAGTGGAAATACACCCTGAAATTCAGAAGCGGTCATGATGTAGAACTGAACATGCGGGGTAAATATTATACCTATAACCCAAAGCTTGAGCTAGATTGCTTTTGAATAGGAGGATGAGTTATTTGTGAAGCTATCAAAGTGAGGCTCAATCCTCAAGTGGTAGTATAAAGAGACGTCTACCATCCAAGAAAAAAGGCATCAAAACTTCACATAGGCAACGGACCCATACTCGTAGGCGAGAGCTAGAATGATGTAATTCTGTGCATAAATTTTGGACATGAATTACTTGTAGTAAGTTTGACAGGCGAAAAAAAAAACGTGTTGTGATTGTATCCATAAGGAAGTTGACGATGAACTGTACTTCTGGCAGTGGAAAGATAGCAACGATAGTGTATATGTGATGAACTGTAACTAGATGAGAAAATTAGGGGGAAGGAGAAGTATGACTGTCGGCGAGAAACAGAGCTTGATGTGAGTGGAAATTAATTTCACATAAGTAATCCCAATGCGATACCAGGATGAATGTAGGCGTGCCTGTTTCGCCTAGTAATTTCCTGAATAGCAGCGCCTGATGGAACTCAACCTATTTGTAGATCGATGGCTTTATATACATCGATCCAGCGCGGCAAGATAGAATATCTAGACACAAAATCAAAAGAACAACATTCCTATAGTGTAGTCAATCAAAGACATGTATGTTCCTCGACTTCTTCAAACCCAAATCTACTCCAAAGCTCCAGAACTTCCCACTACACATATCCATTTCGTCGATCCTGCACCACAGAAGATTCCCAATCTCAAGTATATAAACCCACGCGTCTCCAAAAATATAACTACAACTTCGGGGGAATTAAACGACACCGAAGACAGGAGAATCAAGCATCAGATGATCCGAAAAGAAGTGCTCAAGCTCCCTTGGTGCAAACTCCACTGAGAAGGATGATGCATTTCAGTAACTTTGGGATCTTCTCGCCGATAAATGGATAGGTTATTACCACCAATGTATCAGTGAATACACATTGTCGATTAATTTATATGCTTCTTGTTATTGGAGTTAAACACTCGTTTACTTTCATGTGGCAGGTAAGAGAATTTCCACTAAGATTGATTGCACGTTGCGGAATGAGCCTTCAACAATAGCTCCATGACACATAATGATTCCTTCCAATCCAGTTGGTTTCGTGCATGGAGAATCTGGCAGAGAGAAGAATAGTCGCTCCTTATAGCTTGAGATGTGTAAGCTATGTGTGTCTGGTCTGCTCTGGTAGATTGAATGGAAATGGAAGGAAGTTTAGTTGGAGCGGGTTAAAACGAATGATACTAGAGTCCACAAATCTCATATCGTGCTGTCTTGCACTCATGCAAAATCCACGACTCTAATGTCCTCTGTATACATCCAGGAAGTGAACGACATTGTATTGTCGCGGATGCTATTTAAAAGATTTACCTCCTCCACTTCTTTTATCTATCTACATCTACATTCTAACAAAAAGGGAGAAATGTATTCACAAGGCCCTGGCTCCCATTGGTCTTTCCAGAAGTCATTCCATCATACATCGTCTCTATCAAGAAAGAAATTTACACCCAAAAGTCGATAGATGAAGCTGTCCTTATCATTGCTAAACATCGGAACCGTTGTCATAGATCGATCACTGTCAATTTCTCGGCCACATCTCAACGCTATTATCAATTTCCATTTCATATTATAGCAACGCAAGGAAAGTCCAGTCGTCGACGGGAATTTTGTTATACAAACACTAGATTGTGCAAAAGCCTGGAATTCAAGTAATTGCCCTGTGGTTCACGACGCACCAATCTTTCGGGGGTCTGCTGATACTTAGGAGACATCTAACTCTTTTTTTATATGAAAAGATTGATTTGTTTCCACACTTATAATATCTCTAGTAAATCCGAGAATGAAACCTAGGAAATGGAATACACATCGCCACACCCACTTTATTTCTTAGACTGTAGTCGAATTAATTGGAACGATACTCTAACAAGAATGAGCTCTAACCACGAATTACACTCTAGTTCCCTCCATGACTATATAAAAATCGCCTTCTCTTGAAAACATGGAGAGCTTAGATGAAGAATACCTCTTTCCGCGGTTTGTTGATGTTTTTTCATCAAGAGAGCTAAAGCGGATGCTAAAGACTAAAATCTCGAGTTATAATTTTGTATGGGTAAGATGAAGGGCAACATAAGTGCAAGTGTCAAAGTTTTCACAGCTACTGGCGGTAACCGTCGGAAAGTGTTGTCATTCATTCAGTGAAAAAGCAATAACAGCGCAAAATCAACAATCGGAAAGAGATTTAATAAGATTTGAAAATCAACCCCGGCTGAGAAGAACGGTTGCTCAAACATGTAGACCTCGAGACCTCGCATGATAACAAATATCACTCTACATGCGACCTCTCCATGGCAAACCTTTTACAACTCAAATTCGCCGTCATTTAGTTCAAGTTACTACCAGAATTCTCTCCCAGATATCTTCTTCCTATACTCAAGAAGATAATGCAATCTCCAGTGATAATCCTCATCTCATGTCCTACAACCCCCCACCCACCAACGCAACCAGACTCCCATGCATACCTCCGCACTTCAGTATATAGAAAGGTGATCAAAGATTGAATTCCCGACATTGAACATGAAAAAGAATGGTGGTGATAGTAGAAAGTGGCGAAGAAATTATAAGAAATGCCACCCATAAATTCTAGCAGAGCCATTTATACTGAGCCACCACTTGGTTGAAAGAATGTGAGCAAATACATCTTCAAAAGCACATGGATGAGACGAAAACCAGAATAAATTATCCATATGCGGCCTCTTGAGAGGATAATAGGGACTGATAAAATTTCATTGCTATAAATAAGTGACAAGCCGTGTCTATACACCGGCCACTATACAGCCAGCCCAGACAAACAAATACAAGTCTCTCGATCTCCCTCTTCATATGAAACGCCAACCCTGATAAAATGAAAGCCCTTCGAACTTCTCAACCTTCGATCCTAAGCATACATATCTTCTAGAATTCATACAAATATTTATCTCGTCTTGCCGGAAGAAACACCAGCACCAATAACACCTGGCAATTTTTCATCACCAATGCTATATAGCATACCAATTCCCCAAGAAACAAGTCCAACGAGAACGAGACTGGAAATGAAAATTAACCAGAATGGTCCACTGATATCTCGTTTTTGACAAGCGGATCCTCCACGTCCTGAATCAACGCCACATCTACAGGCGAAACAATCACCAGATTGGGACGTGTATTTCTTGTAGCAAGCGCCCATTGATGAGCAATTATTGGTAGAAGAGATACAAGAATCCAAGGAAGCGTGGCAAACGGGAAGAGTTGTCTTGATAACGGTATTGTTGTTGCGGGAAGAATTGGAACTTGGGGCTTCTTGTACTTGGTGGCCGACAAACTCAGCCATTGGTTCTTCGAATTGTTGTCTGCTAGAGAGCTTCTTTTGTGAGGGTCTAGTATAAGAACCGTAAGAGCCGCTACCTCTGCGGGATTCAGGCATGAGAACGACGATAACGTTCATTTCTGCTTTTGAGGCGAATTTGGTCAATCGTTCGTAAGATGTGTTGATGAACTCCTTGTGCTGTCGCAAACATTAGCCATTAACATCACGAATAGAACGATTCCCATACCTCGGATTTTCTGTTCAAGTCAAGGTGCATAATCTTTGATTTTCCATTCCAACATTGATCTGCGAATGGATTGATAGCATCGTCGAGGGTACAATCCTTCGCCTTTCCGACTTGCAATTCCAAGTCATCTGCCAACTTTTCTGTCGTCCTAGCTGTAGGTGGATTTGAGATTGTGAATGCTGGTTTGATAGAAGATAACGAGTTTAGTAGTGATCCAGCCGTCTCTTCGGATACACCCTCAACGATGATAACCAACTCAGCCGCCCTGTCTTTTGGCGCATCGTTGAATAATGATCTCAGTTGACCTCCAAACTTATTGATGTATTTAATGGCCTCACTGCCAACCGATCCGACATCATGAAATTGTGATACGCCCAACCGTTGTGCGAGGACGAGTCGTGCTTCGTTTGGAGAAAGAGCTGGAGGTGATATGAGGTTGTTTGGCTTTTGTTGGCCTTCGAGGATATAGGCAAGAGCGGAATCTGATGCAGCACAAACTGTACTGGCCAGTAATGGCAAAAGGAAGCTGGAGGAGAGCTTCATATTTGTTGATGAGTTTTGTTGATTTGATATGAGAGGCTCATACTAAGGTGATCTTCTGGGAGAGCGTCGACGCTGATAACCTCAAGGTGTTTGTACCAAGCTAAGCACAGGTTAGACGCTAACCACTTTCGAATTAGGCTGACATCATGAATATGCATTCATGATGTCCAAAAAAGTTCCAGATCACATATCGAAGATTGTTTGAAGGCTCTTGGGTAATATTTTTGGGAACTCTTGAGATACATAGTAGCTAGTATTATATTTAATTGTAATTGTATCAAATATTTACCCATTGAAGCTATTTATTGTACGATATTACCGTATTATTGACCCAAATTTGGGAATTTTGTCATCAAAGGCCTTCCTCGTGTATGGGTGTTTATTTGCTTTATTCGGAGATAAATGGGTACAATGCCGACTCAGTATTTTTAGAACATCTACCTCGTCCATCTTGCGCTCTTGTGCTCACTACCAAATCTCTTCAACTTTCACACGTACCCCAACGACTATTATTTGATCATCAGCGATTCCCTCCCATAGACTCTACTGGATCTCGCATCGCCATCGCATTCGTGGTCCCCGAGAATCTATTCATTTCGCCACAGATTTTCGCCATCAAGGGCTCGCCAACTCGAAGGCGGGCCTTGACTTCTACCCCTCACGATGTTCCGATTGATTAAACCCCGGTTGACGAGTACGTGGACAACAAATGTACGGGCGAGATCAGGACCTGGCCGTTTTGCTGTGAATCCATTATCTATGCGCAGCAATGCTCCGAGATACGCAGGAACGGCATCGAATCCACATGTGGTTCGCTTCCGGAAGTCACCCATTAGAATGAGGTATACATGCTCGGAGTCTGTCTGCAGGAAGTGTACGTGCTGATGCTATTTAGAAACGTCGCCATCAGCTTTATGGTGGTATATGTCTGCTTTGAAGTTTACACCAGGCTAGTTCTCGGTCCCTTAGACAAGGCTGCTGAGGAGGCATCGAAACACATACCGGAGGAGGAGTGGCAAGAGGCCGAACCACCATTATTTATACCCTTCCCTGGCACCGCGAAACAGCTGCCTACTATTCCTTATAAAGGAACTGATCCAGAATTCCAAGAGTTCATCAAGATTAGCCAGGATACAAAGCTTATGAATAAAATTAGGGGTTCGTCTGCTGCCCAACTCATTTAAATTACTAGTTATGGTTACTGACATTCTTCAGCTGACTTGGCGGACATGATGCGGGATCTTGCTTGCAATAGTCTGATCGCTGTACTTATTGGAAAGAATCTAAAAAGTAGAAGGATTTGGCTCGATATTGACTTTCCTTCAATTCCTCCACCGTCATTCGAAAGATCAGGGTAAGTCGCTCGCCGCTAAATTACATGGGTTGAGACTAATGTATATCAGGATCGAAATTTCTGACGATGCAATATCCTGGGTCACACAGCCCGTCGATCACCGATTAGTATACAAAATCCGAAATGTTTTATGGCCAACTGTTGTTTTTCAATCCTCATGGAGTTTTATAAAAGTCCTGGCTGCAGAGGAATTAAGAAATATAGCAGGAATACTTGGCCTGGGAGTTCAAACGAGTCCTGATGAACAATCAGTGGAGCAGATTTTAACGTTACAAAGAACGATGAAGGGGTTGAAAGGACAACAAAAGGTACCAGGGGGTGTTCAAGGGCCACTAGATGCGAAGGATGAGCCATCACAACAGCATCTGGATGACAAAAGTAAAGAAATTAGGGACATTACAGGACCCGGAAAATCAACCGTGAAAGAGGAGATTTTCCCTGCACTTGTAAACAATATCAGGGACATCCACGCAGGGTTTGCAAAACCCTTCATGGCATTCAAATACAAATACGTCGAGGCCAGCAGGTTGTGGCCAACTCAAAACCTTCATCCAAGGGGTTCTATTAAAGTATCTGGATTTGTCGAACTGGAATCTGACAGGGCTTTCGTGGTCTTTGATGTCATCGCAGCTTGGGATCCTAAAAAGAAGGAGTTTGACGCTGCAAGTATGCAAGTCAAAATGAGAAGAGTGCAAAGGAAAAAACAAAGACCTATTGGATTACCACGAGGCCCAGTCAGCTGATGGTACTGTGCTTAGTGGATATCGGGTTTTGTTTTGAGGCGTTCATGGTGGGTATCAAGACACATGGATGTGATGATAAGGCGTTTAGGTGAGTGGAACAATAGAGTCCCATACTCTCTACTAATGGAGTTGGATTTTTATAAGCGTATTACCTTGGACTAGTCTAGAAAGGCAAAGCTTGGGGTAAGGAAGCGATGGTTTACGAGGGGATGAAAGTACCTATCTGATGTACTACACATTTGATTAATACGCAAAATAGCGAGTCAAAGCAAAATTGATTAGTCCTTTGTAACGATTCTTCTCTAAAACTGCATTAATATGTGCAAATTCTTTCAGTTTGCGTATTGCAATGTTATGACATCATTCTCATGTAGTATTCTAGAGTCAATGCGTTTTCTTTCGTTTCCACAATTTGCCCCCTTCTTCTCCCCCTTTCAGTATTTCGAGGCGGAATATCATGTTTATAAGCTGATCCTTTTCTGTCTTTCACTGCCTTTGCAATGCATATGAACTGTTTTATTGACATGCTATCGTAATTGGCATATATTCACACACATTGAAAGTACTGATTGCGCATCACAATTTTGCTCGATTGATGCTAGATAGTCATCATATTAAGGACTTCATTTTCCACCGTATCTCGTTTGTGAATGTTATCTTTACGAAGTTCTTACAGAGTTTTTCTTTCGCTGCAAAAGACAGAAATTAGGGTCTATAGATTGACAATTTCGACTATAAACTACCTAGTGCTTACTTCTGTTTTCTGACCCGCTCTGCCTCTCGGCATTCCAGATTGATACTGGTATCTTGTAACCGTGCAATTTTACCGTTCAGTACAATATGCTTTTGAAAGGCTGACAAACGAAACAAGGGATTTGGTGAGGGAGGAAAGGACCTTAGTAGTGAGCATTGTTGCATTTGTAATGAAACTTGAAGAGCGAGGATGCGACGTTAACAGGAAAATGGGAATCAAGAAGATATGAGGTAAGAAGAGTAGTTAGATTTTAGAGCAAGCAGTACCTCATCTCATGTTTGAGTAAACTTAGCGCCGGATCAAAGTTTAAGATTTCGGATTCAACCACGACGCTCCATCAGATGACAAAATAGAGTAGCACTTCGAGATATGACAAAAATGACATACTGAGAAATTTTGATTGCTTTTGATGGAACATGAGACGTGATACCACGTGGAATTTCATTGTTACTTCGTATTAGTGAATATGAAAGAGTCAAGAATAATGGCTCTCTGGCCCGAAAGACTTGCTCAAGAAATGCTCCACGCACGCCTTCAAGAATGGAAGGCGCGGATTGATTTTCCACACGGATGGTTAAACCAGGAAATGACAGATTGTCGTCAAGAGGAGAAATCAGAATATGAGATTGCGCAAGAGGAGGTACCAACTTACCATTTCTGCAATTCACGAGGGCAAAAAAAGAAAAACTTACGCTTCAAATCCTGGACATAATTTGTGGTAAAAAAAGATCACTTGACCAAAAAATTATAGCAAAAGGGTATAGCAAAGGAGTATAGCAAAGGGGTATAGCAAAAGTGTATAGCAAAAGTGTATAGCAAAAGGGTATAGCAAAGAAAAAAGAACACTCAAAGTATCCATCGACTTGGTAGATTCCGAAGAAACACTCAAAGTAGCGATTGACTCGGTAGGACTTTTCGACGTATCGCACAAGAGATCACTCAAAGTAACGAAGGACTTGGTGGTTTCCGGAGAAAGACTCAAAGTAGCAATCGACTTGGTATATCTGCTGTGTGATGAAGAGGAAAGAAGAAGAAGAAGGAAATTGAAAATGGACGTGGAAGATGGGGTTTATATGGGAATTTTGGGAGGGGGGGATCTGCATGATTTATTTTAGTATGGAACTATTAGGTGGTTAGGAGATACCCAGAACTACTCGGGAAGTATGTCGATGTTAGACTTTTGTTAGCGGTGGTCTACGATGTTAGAAGATGATGATTATGTCACTAAGGAAAGTTGGGCGTAGTAGACTAGTTGGAAACTGTCATCGATTTTGATTGACCTTACTATATTATTATTGACGAAGCATAAAGAAGTAAGCATTTTCTCCGGAATCTTTCAGTGTAGCAGAATCGCAGGAACTCATCCAAAAGGCTATCTATCTATTAATACAATTCAGAACATAGAAATATACGAGAGATGATCTGTTGGCATGTTCTAGAAGTATTGAGAAGCTTTGGAAGGCTCCGAGTTAGTCGATCTATAGCGGAGAGGAATAAAGATACCCTTTTGATCGAAGCTCTTGTTTGATTTATCGACGTATTTTAAATCTCTAGAACCTGTCACAAACCAATATGAAGATCATAGTTTAAGCGTGATTAGGGCAAAGAAAACGGATCTTATTCATGCATAGGCGGCGAGGATAAGGGCAATGATTGATGGATAGGGAATGGCCGTGAAGCGGATTTATCAGCTACATCTAAATTTGAGCTTCTCGTTGTGCTTGTTAGGATGTACCTTGCAAACTGATATGATCAGATGTGCAACATCTCTATTTCACATAGCTCCGAATGTCTTGATTGGAAGATTCAATTATCAAGTGTTTATGTATTTGCACCTAGCTGTGACACTAAAACACCTTGACATGTACAACTTGAGTTAACTTGCTAGGAAATCCTTTGTAGTTCGACGCCATCGATGAGCAAAGTATCTTTCCAATCACAAATGAAGAGCTAGATTTGTAGCAGCTAACTGGAGTGGGAAGTGATTGCACTTGCTTCCAATGGCGTAGGGACTTCATCCCCATTATGACTTTGGATCAAGCCAACATAACAATCTTAATGTATGGTACGAAACCACATTGGCCTACTGCAGATCTTGATCTGGACTCCCAACTAGATGTCTCAAGTGGGCCTTGACAGTATAACACCGACAATTAGAAGGGGGTATTACTTTAGGAAGGGAGTACCGTAAGCTGCCAGCTTTATTATCGATGTTAGGTCGTTGTCTGGCAACTGTCTACTCCCGAACTATCGGAAGGAACGACGAGTCTTTACCATGAACTTTTTGTTGTTGAGGTCCTGTGCAGCGGTTGAAAGTGCAAACCGAGGAATACGATAAAAGATAGTGGTCCCTGTCATACGGCTTGTGCAGGTTCAGTGAGGCAATCCAGAGGTGAATATATGAAAACAGTATAAATGTTTATACTGAACAGTTCATCTGACATTGATGATGACTTCAGGCCAAACAAATACATCCCGTATGGCCTAGTACGGGGTGATTTTGAATTCCTAATATAAAAAGGCACTCATATCAAGAAACACCATCGATGATTTGTGACAATATCATTCACATCATTGAGCTTGATATTAGAAAATACGTGAAGGTTCAATGTATATATTGTGGGTATACAAATGTCGTTGAGCAGCTGACTTATATTCTTGGCTCTAAAGAAATCCCCCTAGGTCTTGTGATATTTTTCCACCTGACCGAAAAAATGTTAGACATGCAACAAAATCTAGGTTTCTCGGTCACGGAATAATCATATTCTGGTATTGTGATTGGCCAAAACTTTGCGGTCGAACGATATTTGATGACACATAAGTTACTACACGACCAATTTAAGCACAGTGTTTTTAGAAGCGAGTCACATGATCTTTCTGTTCCCAACTTTCATCTTCTCTTGTCTGCGGTGTACTCTAGGTGGACAAATGCCTCTGAAGTATGCGAATTGACTTGAACATAGCAAGTTTCATATTGAGAAAACCCAAATACCCATATGGAGATCATGTCATTCATCATGAATGTGGCGACGTTTCACGACCTTCAAGGCGTAGGTAATCGGAGATGCGCCTCTGCTCTGCTGTCCCTTAGTTGAGAGGATAATACCCATTCTTTCAGCCCAAAGAGATAATCTATTATTCCACCCGTCAATCTTAGTTTCGAGGTCTAAATAGACGTCAAATACCACGACGGAATGCCTTTGTCTATGGTAATTAGGTCACCTTCAACTTTCTCCTGCAGTCAAATTTGAAGTCTCACATTCCAGCTTCAGTTATTGTCTGGACTGCCTCCAATCACTACAATGCTTATCAAAATCCATAGACTAATAAGAACCCATACGAACAACTAGATAAAACGGTAGGCCGGCCCTGTTTATGGTAGTAGCATGATCCCCCGCTTCACCTCCACCAGCTCAGGGGTAGAGGCTGCCATACTTAGTCGCTACTTGACGTCTTTTCTTCAATCATTGGCGTAGATGTCCTGTTCACCCTTGGCCTCAGATACTACTTCGAACGATGAACCTAACGGTTGATCGCTCTTTTTTGCAATGAGTCCTTCTTTCGTTCGCTACAACTGGATAATATAGCTCCATTGCTGGATCTTCGTTCTTCACAGGCCTTTTCTTGTGTTGTATCTAACTACTTTAGACATCAATGACACCACAATGTGGGATTATCTCACTCGAATCAGACCGAATCGGATCAGAGCAAAGACCTAGAATTCGATCACTATCTAAACCTCTTGCTTTGTTTGGCATTTGTACTACAATGAATAAAGCTGAATATGTCATGCTTCAAGGACAATGTGGAGTGCTGCCATAAGTATAGCCCCAACAATAAGCTAGCACTCTCGTTTAGCAAGACTATCTAGCTGTTTCCTCTCCAGTCAACGTGGAGAGTAGTCTGCGAGAATTCTTTCCCGCCTATGGATTTGCTATACTTATTGTTTTTGCGGCATTCAGTAGTATTGGCCATTCTATTGTTCCAATTCACGAGAGACAATATCAAAGACGCCATTGCCCGAAAAAGAAAAGTGAATCCCCCTTCCACACACTTAATATTCACTTTCGAGTCTAATCTTATTGTATTCGTGGGCAAGCGAATCGTTTCTATTGTAAAGTCGCGTCGCGTGAGTTGTATTCACCTTAGTAGAATCAATCACTTGCTAGTGTAAATGGCGTAGTTGAGCTGTACCGCAAAGTTATATAAGAAGTGACTTTGGTCTTTCTCTCAATACTTTTTTCTTCTTTTCCTCTTTACACGAAAGCAATTCAAAGAAGTTTATCATATCAATTCCTACTGTCCATCAGTAATTTACCTGCTATAATACTACTTCTCAAAGCTTTCCGATTCTCACATTTAACAATGAATCCTGATCTCCCACCTAACGCTGCATGGGCAGCCAATGCTTTTGCTCCAAGAAAGAAGGGGCCCACCATTTTGATTACCACCAAGAACGGACATTCGACGTTCGGTACTCCAGCTCCAGCTCCAGCTCTCCCCACTCCTGCAAACACTCCTCCAGCGGTGGCCCCGCCAAAGCGTAACAATGGCACCCCGTTCTCAATGGCAGGTAGCCTATTCAACCAACCACCAACCTCTCCTCCGGCACCAGCTCCTCACCTTCCACCGCCATACGTTCCATCGTCCTTCCTTCCACCAACAGCGGCGGCTGCTCCAATTCCATACGGAAATCTTCCTCCCTACGCCCCTTCTACTCCCCCTTCTTTCCTTCCCCAGCTCCCTTCGGCACCAGCACCAGCGCCAACTTTC